ACCCTTAGAGTGAGACAGAATTCTGAGCGTTTGATGCATTGTCCGGATCACTAATCTGACGGAGGAGGACCAGCCGTTATGACATCACTGACCACACTCAATGACATCATCATCATCATCATCATCGTCACGTGGAAGTCCAGTTGCCACAGAGACGTTGTTGTCATGGAGATGCACATATCTTGCCTTCGAAGGTGTGCCTGTGCCTGTGTGTGTGTGTGTGTGAATGAAGTTTTGCTGTGCGTTTGCTTGTTTGTGTCTGTTTTTGATCCTTTGATAAGTGTTCTTATTTTCCACCTCCAAGGGTTTTGTGCTATAGATGAGGGAAAGGACAAGCAAGTGCACACGCATTATTTTTCACAGGATAAAAGCGTACCGATGGACTGCATTATAGGAGCTGCGCTCGGTCTGAACTGGACTCCTGGTTCTTGTGGGATTTACCGTACGTGACGTGGTGAAACTCGTGACGCTTGTGAAGGGGTGGATCTGTCCTGCTTTTGACGGCTGACAGAGACAAACATTCCGGCACCGGTTCAAGGAAACGCAGGCATGAGTGCAAAACTCCATCAACAGAACAATCGCTGTCATTTTTAAAAAAAAGTCTTTAAAAAATAAAAATGCGCAGAAAAGAATCGCCATATGAAAACATGTACTAGAAAACTGTCAATATGCTTCTGACTCATGAATACAGTTATACAATGGAGCCTCTCTGGTCGTTGTCATTGCTGTCTCTCTCTGGCTACTCCTACTGGTTTTGCAGTATATGGCACACATGCTGTTCTGTGTACACAGAATATCTGGATAACCTGCAAGCTAAAAAATTATTCCAAAAAACTTGGCTGCAAAATATTTTAAAAGCCGAAATATGGGATTTATCTTTAGATAGAAATGCTAATTTTACAGTTGGGGATGCTATACACATTGGAGCTGCTTCAAAATAACATCAGAATTGAATAACTACTGATTACAATTCGTTTTTTTTGTAAGAACTAAAGGAGAAACCGGGGTTTGGTTGATCACTGCCACATCATCTGGCTGATCTTTCTCCACTGGCAGCCATTCAGAAGTAGCCGTGTGTTGTCATTAAAATAGAGAGAATATACAGCATTTCACTGATTTTATCAAGCAACGTTTAAACATATCTTAGATGTTTTATCAGTGATTCTGCTTCAGAGGTTTTTAAACATCAAATGGTTGTCTATTTTTCTTTGGCATCACTAGTGAAGGTTTGAGACTGGATGAATTTGGAAGAGCTACGCTGCCAAACTGCTGCTGTGTCTTCGTGTCGGTTATTCTGAATTCTGCCTGTGTGTGTTTTGTGTCATCGGGTAATTGGTCACCAGGATGTCGTCTTCCTGCAGCTCTGAAGTCATTAGTCACATGATCATTTAGGTTCGGATGATTGGTTCAAAACAGCCTGGAAGTAGAACTAAGTGCTCATGACTGCATGTTACACAGGCTGTGCTCAGAATTACATACTACACACTACTATAGTGTAGTGCAGGGGTCTCCAAACTGGGTCCCGGAGGGCCCTGTCCTGCAGTTTAGCGCCAACCCTAATCAAACACA